TTAACATCAAAGTCATCTATGTATATTATTTAAAAGCTTTTATAGGAATATATTATTATACAGTTTTATACGGCTCTTCTTTGTAAATTATAATGTACCTATTGTACTTATCAGTGGTGGATTCAAGAGAGTCAAGATTTTAAAACAACATACGGTGTACGTATACCTAGATGTATCAATGTGAGTTAGGTAATAAGTAATAACTACAATTATAACCACGTCTTTTTTGGCCCCTGCAAAGAAAATCCTGTATCCGTAACTGGTGCTTCCATATCACACAAATACACAATGCGAGTTGTATTGCAATGTTTAGAATAAACACTCACAAACAGATTTTTAACATCGTATACTGTTGTTTATTTTGACAACATCACTCCTTTAGCAGCCTCCCACAATCACGATGGAGAAGATATCTTCTCTACATCGTGCCCGCAATAATTTTGTGCCTATCAAAATGGATGTATAATATACTAGTGACTAATGAGACATGTAATGATAATATTATTATTATGAGCGTAATATACCACATATCAACACTAAAACACCTGGCCCGCTTTTTGTCGCCCGTCATCGTTATACATGTTTGATTTATAAAATAAATTTAGAGGCATGGGCGCAAATTTGGGGGGCTAATCCCCCCAAACTCAGCCGTAGCCCCCCCCCCCAAAAAAAACCTAGGACATACAATTTTAAAATGCTATATTGCAATGGTCTGCTTGCCTTTAATATATTCAGCCCTCCCCAAGTCAAAAGTAGAAATTGCACATTATTTTAACTACCTAACGAGATACATATTATAACATAATTATAATTTCGCTGCTCTCATCGAAGTTTGATATAAATATATAAAGTACAGACTGATTCACCAAGCACGCTCATTAATATTGATAAATTAGCATTTTACAATTTGTAAAAATTGGCAGGAAAAATTGAACCACACGCAGCAAGAAAATTTAAAAGCCTGAAAATATGGTATAAACTTCAAAGTAACCTTAAAATTTCAAAAAACATAATTTGAATTGCATCATTAAATGATAAAAGAGGACTAGATGAAATGTTTGTTGAATCATCATAGTTATACAAATTAATTAAGATAGGTACTAATGTACTATGGGTCCATTTGCTACAATATGAGCATTATTAAATTAGCTTTACACATCATTATTCGACTCATTCCGGTATCCGGTTATCTATAATTTATTATGTACAATACATAATAATAGTTTTTATATTATAAGCCTCTGTATTTTTTGAATTTTGGACTTGTAATATTAATATACATATAACGTCATAAGTACATATACGGTGCATACTATATGATTTTAAATGAAAACAAAAACCCATCGATTCGCCTTGATTATATGAATTATGTATACAAAACACTACACAAGAGTGTTTAAACAGGGTGATTTTTTCACACTATTTACACACTCACATTTAATTTAAGAGTTATAATAAAATGGAAAAAATCTCTAGAGTTGTACTAAAAAATATAAGATACAAATTGTTGGATTTATTCAAGTGAGTCTATATTATAAATAAATATACGTTATGTTATTTAACAGTTTTTAATTAATTAATATTTAAATAAATGAATTCTATTACGCTATTTACGTTCATTGTAACGAACGCATGTATGTAACGAAAACCACAATGATTCATGCCCAAAGCCCCAAACTATTATATAATTCTTAAAAACCAAACATTAAAAATTACCTGTTAATATGTTAACAACTTTAACTATTTGTATAATATTCGTATAAAATATATTAACACATCAAAAACTGACAAAATTACGATACGATGATGGATGACAATATAATTTAACTTTGAAGTGAATTGTAAAAAAGTAGCTATTTAATCGATTGGAACGGTTGGAACGATTTGAAAAATAATAGATTTTTCCTAGAAAATTATCAAAACTATTTTATAATGCATATTATAAATGTACATTATTATTTATTTTATTTTTATATTTTAACTGTTTTAAAGAGCCTTTATACATTTTAAAATTAAATAAAGAATGAGCAATTAATGGTGGGTTGAGCTAAAAATAAGAAATAATTTTAGGTGTATGAAATGCAAATATTTCCAAAATATTGGTACAGATTTGAAGAAAATCTGATTACATTGGACCATTGTGGTAGCAACTTTATATATTATTTAATAATCTATTGTTGACTTTAAATTTAATATCAAACACTACAGAGTACCTGTAGGTCTTCTACTCATTTTTATTATGTAAAATTCGAAACCGTTGAAAAACAATATTCTAGCATTATAATTAACATTTCAATAGAAATATTTTTTTATAAAACCGATAAAAATTAAAAACTTTATACAACAAAATAAATAATTATTATAAATGGTCAATGGTTAAATAATAATTCACTCATTGAACACATAAATATACAATTCGAATGCGAGTCCCAATTTGTAATGCGTACTCGAGTTTAAAATGGATACATATTAGGCTTTAGCCTATTTTACATTTTAATAACACCATATGAACGCGCACGAGCGGGTGTGTTGTATGTCTGTTTTTGTTAATTTTAAATAAATAAATGATGTATGTGGAATCGGAAAGCTAATACTCATTTTAGAGTCAAAACATTTTGATGCTAATCAAAGTAATTTTGCTCAAAAACCTTTATTATTCAGTATTCTACTATACGACCAATACAATAAAATGTGAACATTTTATAAAATATAGTACCTACCTATATACGAATACAATATGTATAATAGCATTGCTTCAATATTCACGTATGCGGAACATATATAATTGATAATAAACATTAAACAGTGACATGATTACTGTCAAGCTGAATACTTTATAAATATGACAGACATCTATTATAATACAATATCCTGAAATACTAGCTGTATATTTTTATATTTAAGGTTTTCAACATATATAATATACGTATCATTATTCGTTGTCGCTGTATTAAATAATAAGCTTTAACAAATATTTGTATGGATTTTTTCAGTACCTATATATTAATACATATATAAGAAGGAAAACGAATACAACGAAACACAGTACAGAATTCCTGACTGTTTAGTTTTTAATGGGATTTTCATCAAGTTGTCATAAAAATACAAATATATAGGTATATAGGTTTATAGGTATAGCTTCAGTATATAATATATATATAACAATCCTGAATCATTAAACTGTCGTCAAAGAATTAAATATAACAAGTTCTGTTTTAATACCTATATATTAATATAAAAAGCTTTGTGCCTATAAACAGTAGCAACGTGGGTTCTTCATAAGTTATCATATTGTTTTTTATTTCTTGCAGCAGTTTAAAATTATCACAAATACATTGACACGTTTTTTTTTTATATAGACATTTAAAAAAATTGAATTCTTAAACGACAAAAACAATTAATTTTCATCTGAAGATTTTAATTGTTTTGTTTATATTAAAAGTCATTGAAAAATATTGACATATATGAGACTTGAAACTTATTACAATTCGCATATAATTATGTAACAGAATTAAATGTTCAAATTATTTTAACTGTTGGTTATTCCAGTCTACGAATCTATTTACGCTGTTTTACTACATGCACCTATTGTATTGACCCATGAGTGAATAATAATATATATATAATATACCATAATATACGGTATAATATTATAATATAGTTTTATATTAGGTATATGCGATGTTTTTTATAAAAATAAGTCCAACCTACTATAATAAATTATAAAATATCCTTAGAAATTATAGGCTGATAGAAAGTCTCCAACTGAATCATTTTTCATCGAATACAATGATCAATTATTGAATTCAAATTAAAAATGCACCCATAACCCAACTCAATTTTCTATACGTAATAATTTATCGTTGAATTAAAATGTTTATTTCTCGAAATGTCAAGTGAGTTCCAGTAATCTACTCAGTGGAGAGGTGCTTTTAAAACCTACTATATACGAAGAGACTTTTCCGGTTTTTCTTTTAATTTCATTTTACACGGAAGTTTGATGTATGTACTCGTATATTATACTAATATGTAAGTTGGTTTCTGCGGTCTATGGTGGCCAGTTATTCATAGCAATCGGTCTTCACAGAAACTATATGTCACTTCTCAGTATCGTTAACATGGTGTATCTAATTTAACTCTGTATAATAAGCAATATAATAAAAATACTTGAAAAATTGCATCTTGATAGTTCACACTAGGTGAAATGTGTTAAATTATAATATTTTTTATACAATTCGATCGAATACCTAGTCAATCTGCCAATATTACTGTTAAGTATCATATTATTTTAAAAATGTCAGTTATTTATTTTAAAATCGTAAACGAAAGTCAAAATGCGGACATACTTGGCGCGTTAAATAAGTACTCCTTTCCGAGCGAATGCGTGTAAAGAATGTTATCGAATCAAAATCTATAGAAACAATTTAGATCAGAGATCTTTTTATGCGTTTTTTTTTTGTTAAAAATAGTGAACATTTTAGATACTGAAACGAGTGTTATAAAACCGATCGTGATTATCAATGTGTGCTATAAAATTGTTCAAATATTATATTATAGCAAAAGTGATCCAAAAGTGATCATAATATATAACAACAGGTTATAAACATTGGCTTAGTATTACATGTATTATATAGCTGCGTGGCTTACGAAATTATTTCCATAGTAAATAAATATGGCAAGTAAAATTTAAAAATGTTAGCACTAATAATACACGCAATTTCCTTTAAAAACTCTTCTTACGTATATATATTCTATATCTTCATCAAGTCGACTACCTAAATAAAAATTTTACAGGTCATATTGTAACGGAGCAAACTAACAAAAACGGCCCTTCTCAGGGCCACCACATTTGACATCTACAATATAGGCACAGACCTACCGTGACCAAAAAATGAACGCCCGACCAATCAGAAATAGGCGACGCTTAAAGGCTGATTTCTAAATCATATTTTAAGTACAGACAAGAAAAGAATATCTATGAATAGAAGAGATGACACCGATTACGTAGATACCATTTTGACCTTTGTAAAACAAATTCCGGCTAAATTACAAAAGAAACCGTGCCGACTGTAAACACACCAATCAGCATACAGGTTTACTAGTCGGTACGGCGACGGGTATATATACGGGTGCATGCTCATACAAAATCTACAGTCTTCTTCCACCTCTTCAATCAACACTTCGTCATCCATAGAACGAAGAAAAAAAGAACCGAAGACACGAAGAACCAACACCAACCAGCACGAGACTCCAGTCAAGACCGCCGACGAAGCCATTAATACCGCGACGACGATATTCTGCGTACGAGACGGCACCTGACGGCTGCAGCAATCCGACTGCCGCTCCGAATACAACTGTCAACGAAACGACAAAGACACTCGTGATACGAGTCGGCAAGAAGCGGCAATCACCGAGCACCGGTCCTGATCATTCCGCGACCAAGACTGTCAACATAGCCGCGAGGTCTCCGCGACGTACGGAGATACCCAACGTCGACGGACATATATACCATCGACCGCGTCGTTAAGACGTACCGACAGCCGCCGACCTACCATCGCGGCCAACTGAAACGGTTCTTTTCAGAACCAACACCTTACGTGTACCACCCTCCGTGCGCCTGTTCAGACGGCACTGTGAGATAGGACCGCACCGAACACGACTTGCTAGAGTCCGTGAACGAGTGGTTCTAGCTCTCCATTTTCAATTATATAATTATTCATGTCAAATTGATAACACCCAATATTTGTAATTTGGTCGCACCTCTACAGGTCCGATACCGCCCGACACGGTCTGCAGCTTACTCGAGCCAGCCGTGCGGCCCGGTCAATCCCTAACCACTGTATATAATTTACTTTGAACATTGTACAATAAACTTTATGATACCGTAAACAATATTCTTATTTAATAAAAAAAACAGTTTGTCGAACATCGGCGCACTGTTTCAATATTTTCATCAATTTTTATTTTTTTATACGTTGAAATTTCAGTATTTTTTTCTATTACTTTTTACTATTGAATACAACGAATAAATACATAAAACTACAACAATTTTACCACTTGCTGTATATAATATAATATGGAATACGTAATTGACTCAGTTCTAGTGAATGATTTCTGAAGTTTCGTAAACGCATTCGCGCACTCAACTTGAAATATTGTATGTTTCAAAATATGTCAAAAATAATTGAACTTTTTCCTCTCGTGAGCTGTTTTTCAATAATATATTCCATATTGGTTTAACTTCTGCGGGATTGCCGATTGGTAAAAACAAAGTAGGTCTTGCGACACAACATATTAATATGTAAATACGGCTACCTACAAGCAGCGGAAAAAACTTAATTTATTATTTGTAAGGAAGCTGCAAGTTCAAAGTCCATATAAATTAAATAATAATAATTCAATATTCAATAACAAATTTACAGCTACTTGAAGTATATTATATTTCCGTTAGAAAATGTTTTTACCTCTGAAAAATATACGATGTTCATCTATATACTGGCTTCTACCTACAAACAACTACCCTACAGTACAACCCATCATTATAATAGACAATAGGCATGACTGCATGAGTAAAGACTATTTATATATTACAATGTTATATAGGAACTATTATATATCGGTTACAGCATACAAACGCCTTACTATACCTAAAAAATTATTTCATTTATAAATTATGATCGATATAATATGTATACAATGTACGTATATATTTTATAAAATACTAATCATATACGATGTTTTAACACGCAACTACTATAGTGCATAGAACATGATTTCCGAGAGTTCCTTTTTATATCAAATTTTAAATTTTTCTTTTTTAAGACAGTTTTGTTTGTTATTTTAAGTAATGAAAACCAATCTAAAGTAAAATGTTACTCATGGGAGGATCTTGATCATCAAATTAATTCCTGTCAATATCCTATTATCACTAATACATAATATTGATTATTTCAGTGCTATTTCGTGTACAGGTGTAGATATTCGATTAAAAAACAAAAATAATAATAATAAAACCAAAGTCGTAAAAACTAATATTTTTTTTTGTTATTATTTAATAAATTACCTACTATCTGGTTGAAAGACTAATATATAACATTGATAATAACCATAATAAACTCCTATTTAGTATAGGTATAGGAAACCATTCGGCAACAGACGCTTGGAATTGTGTTTGTTTATATATTTTTGTTAAGAGGATGTCAGCGCACTATTTATTTTCTCTCTCTGGCCCACGCCCAACATTGACAAAATGCATTTACGCGGAATCATTTTTTATATTATGTTTTTAAGTAATCTTAGAGTAAAATCACCCATTACAAAAAAGATAGAGAATAATATTTTTGAGGGAATGCCATATCGATTTTTCTAAATGTTGTCTCAAAAAATTTAAGCATCATTTAAATGTACAAATTTTTTTTGTTTATTTTGAAAGTCGAATACCAAATCAAATAACAATAAAATATAAAATCGATATGTCATTTCCTCAAAAATATTATTCTAAATCTCTTTTGTAATGGGTGATTTCATCTAAGATTACTTAAAAACATAGAAAAAATGATTCTGCGTTAATGCGTTTTGTCTAAACTGCGCGTGGGCCAAAGAGAAAACAAATAATGAGCGACATCCTCTTAAAACCCTGCTCGATATTCCATCACATTACACGCGTTACATATTAATATATACTATATAGAATAAATCCTTGGACCGATTTGTTCACCGAGTCGGCGGAGGACATTGTCGGGTATTGTGAGAGAACATATGTTTTTACGTGTATTTTGTCGAGTAAGTTGATAAATTTGATAATTCATTGTGGAAGTTTACATAGTGGGTTTTTTCAAGTGAATCTATTTGTGAGCTGTACCACAGAGGTATTATGTTATTCTTTATGAAAAGAATCATCTTTTACAAATCAATAAGAGCACCTGCGATCAGTCTCAGTCATTGTAGTACCTTGGAAAGATTTTAATGGACGGTTAACATCCGTTTGATGGCTTGGCGTGGCTCCAAATGTAAATGCTATAGGTAGCCTATACCTGCCTACCGTTTTGTTAAAATAAATAAAAATGTTATGTAAATATTAATTTTCTTGTAGTTATTTTTTTGCATCAATACTATCACTTAAAAAATGTAGAATTATCTTCCCGGTTAAGCGGAAAAGACCCGTTCTAGTTTTTTTCTTTTTTAATAATTTGTGAATCAATTTAGAGTCTAAATTGATTCAAAAATTATTAAAGAACGGCTATTTTATTATTGTACAGGTCGATTCACCAACATGATCAAACCATTTTTTTGCTTTAATAATGAATTATTTGGATTTTACATACAATTAAAGGAGTATCACAAATTTCTCTTTTCAAATGAAAACCAACCTTAATTTCTGTAAATTGTTATATATATGATTTTTTTGAAATTATTGGTGTATCTAAATCAAAATTCGAATTAGTAGTTTCTAATTTATTGAAATATGTATAATATATACCTACTAAGAATAATAGACCATAAAAATGGTTTTGCAATAATATATAATCTTTGTAATAATAATAATGGGTCAATAGAATTTATAATAGGTACTAAGGACCTAGGGGCGGATTTATGGGGAGGGGGCGACGTGGCGAAACCCCATAGGATTTTTTTATAAAACATAGGGAAGTAAGCTACATTTGTTCTTAAGTTTTAATGAGTTGTAATACCGCTTCACAGAATTATTTAAAGAATCGGCCTTCTTAGTTATTAGCGCTCCTGGCAGCTAATACCCGCAATAAATGCCGTAAAATAAAGACTCAAAAATGTCTTAATGAAAGTTCGGAAGTGACCACACGCCGTATTATCTACATCGTGAAATTAACTAATTTAAAATTTTGTTGACCATAACTTACAAATTAAGTTTGAGTGTTTTATTTGAAAGTACCATCAAATTAAGCATGCAAAACACGACGCATTTTGAAGAAAAAAACGCTTGGCAGCTGAACTAGCTGTATTTATGTCAAACTTTAAGTTTTACACTTTTGGATTTAAAACGCGATATTTTTATGTTCCTACTCAGAAAAGTCAGATTTATAAACTGTAACTAATATTATTTAATTAATTATATTAATTTAAATAATTGTTAATCAATGTTTGTTCGGAGTATTTAAACTGAACTTGGATTATCATATTCTCAAATGAAAGATAATCATTAAAATATAGAAATAAATTGTTCATTGTACTTTATATTATATCACTCAAAAATATTCCTACTCACCACACCCTTAAACAAGCTTCAGATCCGCCCCTGATAGGACCATTTCTAAAAGTTATAAAATATTGATATATTAATAATTAATAATGTATGTTACTAATTTTTTTAAACCATCATAGCCATATCTTCCGAACCCATTACATTGGATCTATTATCCTCAGTACATTAAGGTAAATAACTGAAAAACTACTCGTTTGAATTCCTAATTAAATGTACTAAATATTAAAAAAATAATCTGCTTAACTATTCAAAATTTAAGGTTGAATCTCACAAGAAGTTTGTATCGCCGGAGGACACTGCTTAAATGGCATACAAAATCCAAGCATTTGAAAATATGGTTCTTATGTATAATACAATGTATACTATATATATAGGTAAGTACATAAACATTCCAAAATTCAGGTTTTGAATAAACTCATTACTTAAATGAAAAAACGGGGGTGAGATCCTTGGCGAAACACTCAATATAGCTATGCCACGCCGTGTTCAGTGTTGTGATAAATATCGCTGCTTGGGTATCATTTGTTGGAATTGTTTCAGTATAGCTTTGCATCTTAATAACACGTTACACAATTATTTTGGTATATTAATCATGCGTTACGGAAAATATTTAGTTTACCTAACTAGAAATCGGGCTAGACTAGATACGTTATAGATACGTTCAAACGTTTTCCTCGCCAATTGAATATTTTACAGGTTCGTCATCGCCATTATTTCACTAATTTTAGCAACATTCGTGTAACAGAAACTATTAAATCATATTTAAGTTTGAAGTCATATAAAATACATTATCTGTCTTCAAAATTACAACAATAGGATAGATAATATAGTAAATAACAAAAACAAATGTATTTTTTAAGCCACCCAAAGGCTTTCAACGTTATGTTGATTATGTCTGTAACAGCACCACTCAGACTCAGGTAAGTAACTACAATAATTATTAGCTTATGTACCAAACAGTCCATTAATTTTAAATCGTTAACGTTGGCATGAGCACTTACAATTATTAAAGTTATGGCTTTTTAATGACGTTAAAAA